TGTGTGTGTGTGTGTGTGTGTGTGTGTGTGTGTGTGTGTGTGTGTGTGTGTGTGTGTGTGTGTGTGTGTGTGTGTGTGTGTGTGTGTGTTTCTAGTTCATTGTGCTTGGCATCAAAGCCCTCTTGTTTGATAAGCACCCAACTGGGGTGAGTAATTCAGCTTTATTATATATACATATACTGAGCAGGCATAACATTTGTGTTTACAAAAGGTGACAGAAAGGTGTCAGAATGCACAGTGCATCACTGCTTGTTGCACATGGAGCTGCATGGCTGCACAGGTGGTCTGGAATGATGAATCTTTTTTTTTTACATCACATGGATGGCTGGGTGTGTGTGCTTACCTGGGGAACACGTAGCACCAGGATTCACTATGGGAAGAAAGCAATGCTGGGGATGCAGTGTGATGCTTTGGCCATTGTTCTGTGTTGGGTCTCGCCATACATGTGGATGATACTTTGACAAAGACCACTTAACTAAGCATTCTTTCAGACCATGTACATGCTTTCATGGAGATGGTGCTCCCTGGTGGTTGTGGCCACTTTCAGCAGAATAAAGCACCCTGCCACAAAGGAAAAATGGTTGAGGGATGGTTTGGGGAGCACAAATGAGTTTGAGGTGTTGGCTTGGTCTCCAAATTCCCCAGATCTCAATCCAGTCGAGATTCTGTGGGATTTGCTGGCCAAACAATTCCGATCTATGGAAGCCGCACCTCACAACTTACAGGACCTTAAGGGACCTGTGGCTAAAATGATGGTGCAAATATTACACCATCATCTTTTCTACATGATACATGTAGCAGTAGATATCTCCAAATATGCACCCACATTGTGTTGAACAGCGTTGAAGAAATTTCCTCCAGTGAACAGGAGTCACACAGTGACTTCCACTGTGGAGACAAACTGTTAAAGTTGAAGCATTTGTTGGCTTTTTAAGTTGTCTGAGTGTTAAATGCATATTTTGTTGTGCATAAAGTGACACAAGTCTTGTATTTTAGGTCATACTCAACATGATTTTGTATCTCATTTTTGTTTTTGTTTCTAATGTCTCTGTAAAGCACTTTGAATCACCTTGTTGTTTAATTGTGCTATACAAATAAACTTGCCTTGCCTTGCCTAGTTCACTGAGTTTTGAATGAATATGGACAGTGGACAACAAACAGTGACGCGTGTATCTCTACATGAAGTCTGTGTGGTCACTGCTCTTTGAGATTTGAGTGTGTCAGCACCTTGTCAGGAACTTAGCCCACATTATTTTTCTCTTTTAGAGCAGTGATGAACCAGAGCTCCACAGACCAGTGCTGATAGAAGTGACTGCGCTGCCTGTGGTCTGAACATCTTGACTCTGTGTAATGTCACATCAGCGATCAACAAAAATTGTGACTGTACGGCCTCCAACTTCTGAGAGTTTTCTAAATGTTCCTAAAAATAATCATATTTAATTTTTTTTAAAGAAGTCCCCTGTAACTGTTATATAATTCATTTTGCTTGTATTTTTGAAATTTTATTTTTAGAGAATTTTATATTAAACTTCAACATTATGCTTTTTGTGTGAAAACAGGAACATGTCTGAAGATTACCATTACTAACATTTTTAGGTGTCATGGTGTAGAATATATGAATTATAGCACTGTGTATATTTACTCTGTTACTGACGAACTTAGACTTAGTTACTTTTTATTGTAATCAATTACTCGACCCGTTCAGTAAAGACATAAACACACAACAATGTTTGCCTGAGAATGTGAGATCAAACCTTTGCGACACTGTTGCTGTGACACAATTTGTCCACCAGGGAGCACTGTTCTCTTGTCACAATTGTAATGAGGTTGGAGGTTGAAGGCACACGGAGAGAGTTAAGGGGAGCGACCGCAGCAGCGGCGGAGCAGGTCCGGAGGCTGAACTGCTCTCCCAGCTGTCCAGAACTTTGTTTTTAATGGATTCTTGTGCTCCAGTTTGTTTTCCTCTTTTTTTGGGTTCATCTGCTAACCTCCCCTCTGTCTCCATGGTTCATGTTTTCAGATATTTCCAGGTTTCATTGTTTTAGTTTCTCAGTGTTTAGGTTTTTCTTAGTTCTCGTCCTGTTTGTGTTATCGTTTATTTTATGTTTTTTTTGGCCACAATAAAGGCTCACTTTTTGTCAAGTTCAGTCCTGCCTCTCGTGTGTCTGCTTCTTAGTCCACACTTCAACACACTGGCTACCCAGCCATGACAACAGCCGAGTTGTGGTCAGCTGTCCAGCACATCAAGTAATCCATATTACAGCATGAGTAGCACTCAGTTAGGTGAAGTGAAAAAACTTCAAACTTGCTGGGACCTGCCCTCATGTGGACCAGCACAGGAAAGGAACTGATTGTTTTATTTTTGGCAATTTTTGCACATTACACTTTATGTAGTCCCGTGTTGACTGTCTGTTATATGTGATTTGTAGCACCGTGGTCTTGGAGGAACGTTGTTTTGTTTCACAACGTACTGTATCACATGGCTGCAATGACAATAAAAACACTTGACTTAAAGATGAAGAACGAGCATGATTGAGCTCAATATCAGCTGACATAATGAAAACATCAATGAAGACAAAGGATGCTGGTTGTGGTTTGGAAGTTTTTCAGTATCTTTTCTGCAAAGCACTGCTGGAGGAAATCACTGCACAGCCCGTGGCTTAACAGGTGATTATTTTAGTCATGTTTGACTGATTGCCCTAATTAATTAAGTGTTATTACCATAAAATTACAGTTTTAAACTAGTCAAGTTTGTTATTTGGTGAATGTCTGAAGTTTAAGTTTGGCATGTTTGCTGAACATATTTGGTTCTTGAAAAATATATATATATATATATATATATATATATATATATTTATTTATTTTTTTTTTTATACGGAGAGCATAAAGAGGAGGTGCTATTGGTAGCGGTGTTGCCCAGTTCCTGGTTTCCTCTTTCCAGTGTACCGCTTACTCGATCAGACTCGTTTATTTTTCATAGGCAGTTGTTTAAGTTTTTGTTCTTCACTAACAGGTAAGCCTTGTAGTCATGTTTGATTCAGTAAAAGATAAAAGTCCAATTTTTGTCTTACTTTACTCGCATTTCACAGAATGTGTATTTGGTAATATTTTGACTTGAATTATTTTGTATGAGGATAAAGTGTAAGATAATGCTGATTTTCAGTTTTTACTTTACAATTCGGTTTAGTGTAATGTTTACCGTTAAGTAGTGTTTTCTTGCCTTATTTAATTTTTTACATATGGTTCTAATTGCGCACAGGGCGACGGCATTGTGGAGTGTAGTAATGGAGGGTTAAACTGCTTTGGAGTCAGTTTTCTCACCGTGTTTGGGAGTGTACAGGGACATTCAGGGTGATTACGGTGAATTCCAGACTTTGGAAATAAATGTTTGCATGCTTGTTTTCAACTAGCGGACTTTGTGGATTATTTTTCAACTGCCCAAGAACACGTGTACGGTCTGACTAGCAGCGGGTGCTTCCGCGGTAATATTCAGCTTGTAATTCAGACTAATTAAGAGTTGTGTCTTTATGTAAAAAATTGTTGATTAAGCTAATCGTTTTTCATCGATCTCCATGTTGTAAGTTTAAACAACATCAGAAAAGACACAGGTTGAAACTAATTTTATGATTTCTGGGTAACAAAAATACAACTTCTAAAGTTAATATTAGTCTAATCATTAATATAAAATATAGTACATATATTTATCCATTGGTACAGGTGTTCCAGGTTATGGATGTAAAACAACACAAAAGAGGCAACTGGCCAATTTTAACATTACTTCCTTGTTCCTGAACAAGAGCGTGCAGTAAATAAAGCTGGGGGATGGTGCTGACTTCACTGGAGTTTTTAAAATGTGTTACATTAAATAGAAAGTTTCTATTATCTAGCTTTGCTGATATAAATGTGGTGAAAATTATTGAGAGCGAGAGAGCGAGAAAGAGATTTTAATTTAAAAACTGAAGGAGCAAGGAGAAACAATTCAGCAAAAATGAATGATTAAATAAATAATCATGACAACTTTATGTGAGGCAGAGGCAGGAAGTGGACTCAAACTCATGACTCAAACACGAAAAAGTAACTTAGGTCGGCAGGTTTATTGGTGGGGAAACTCCTTCATAAAAATAAACTCGCAGAAAAACAAACCAAAAAACCTTGAGAATAAATAAGAACAGAACACTGGAAACTAAAATTAAATCTCCAGGAAACTAGAAACATAGGACTGAAACCGGAAACACGGAAAGACTTGCACACACAAGGAGGTACAACAGGACAAAAGGCAAAGGAAAACACAGGGTTTAAATATACAAGGGAATAATGAGGGAATGGGGAACCAGAAGGAAGCACAGCTGGGATTAATTAGACATAACAAGACAAGGGGAAACAAAACTAGCCAATTGCAGTTTTCAAGAATGGCCACTAAGTTTTAATATTACTCTTATTATTTTGTGACCCAGAAAGAGTAAACGTTTAACATATTCTCAGGCGAGGATGTAGCTGTGTGAACTTCAAATATCTGCTCGGTTTATCAAGACATCACATATTTGCACAAGTGCTTCAACGTTTTCGGAGACATCTGTTACCCACCAGCTCGTTAGCTAGTCGGGAGCTCAAGGGTCACTAGAGCCGCCGAGAACGGCACAACTCCCGGCACATCATTTTCACATCACCGCAGTCTTTCGCTACTCAGGTTAAACGTAATATATAAGTCACTTAGACAACCTAAAAATTTAATTTTTTGGCTTTTTTCAGTGTTTTATTTGTCCGTGAGTAAATCGTTTGGCTGAGATCAAAGTTATTAGACTATTCGATTAAATAAAACTTTATTAATCCATCGGGTGGGTTCCTCCGGGATTTTCACACAGCTGAATAAACGTCAAACAGAAAACTGATTAAACAGAAGTGTGAGACGGTCGAGAATTTACACCAGTGTCCTGTTATATTTTAGTTAGCAAGGAGCAGACGGCCGAGTTTATTAAACTCCACCGAGACAGCGGTGACGTAAATCTGAAGGCTAGACCGTCCAATTTCACAGCCGTTTACTTCCGGCCTACCCGACTTTCTGAGGACCCAGCCCACGAAGACCGCGAAGGACGGGTCCTCAGGAGGATGCAGCCCATGAATTTGGACACCCTCTCTAGACACACTGACATTGGACATGGGACTGTCAAAGTAAAACAGGAAATAAAATGAACATTGAACCAGGACCACAAGACACAACACAAGGAACACAAGGGAGGCACAGAGACAAAACCTAAAGGCTGGAAAATCACAGCGGTGCTAAAGAATAAATAAGGAAAAATAAATACAAAAAACCCCCAAAAACTAATCATGAAAATCCCACATAAACTGAGAACATTGAATAAACAAAAACCAAGTCACCCGACTACGGACCATCACACTTTTACTATGAATCTGATTGTCATTATTATGCCAGAAATCATCTAAAGAGACCAAACCCATTTTTGTAGCACACGACAAACTTTTTTCTGCTGTGAAGTGAAAATTTTAACATAGAAGTTAATGACACGTGACCTGCTGTTGTAGCCGACACAGTAAAGTGACTGGGCACATCACTGCGGGATTCCATTTTCAGCACCTGGAGGTTGCCTATATATGTAAAACATTCTTGTAAACTGGTATCAGCACAGTGTTATCCATATGAAGAACCAGTGTCACCTGTTAAAGCCAACTTGAGAGCGTCCAGTGATGTGACAGCCTCCCAGCATCAAGTCGGTTTAATTAATTAAAAGATTACTTTTAAAATTCTGTTTAAAGCTCCTTTGGTGGAAAGTGAAGTTAAGTGAAGGGAAGTGAGGTGTTTGGGTCAAATTGTTTTTCCACTAAGACTTTAATCTGATTCTTATTTCAGCTTTTTCTTGTCTCTCAGTCTCCAGGATCTCAAGACAGGATGTCAGTGACTGTGTCCAAGGCTGATGGGGTCACTGTACTCACTCTGACCACTGACCCCCAAAGTCCTTGGCCTCCTCTGTGCCAGATCTTCAAGAACCTTTGCTAC